GAAATGAAATTATTATTTTAGAGAATACTATTAAGAGTCTTCGTGAAGAACTCAAGGAAATGACTGAAAAATACAACAAATCAAATATGGAAATACTTTCATTGAAAGAAGAAATTAGCCAGTTGAAAAATAATTCTCAAGTAAAAATTCAGGAAAGTATTACAAAAATTTTAAGTAAATGTTTCACTTCAGGTCAAATAAATGTTTTATGCAATGAAAATAAAAAACGAATTCGTTGGAGTTCAGATGACATAGCTTCCGCCATCTCCCTAAGAAGCATTAGTCCCAAGGCTTATAGATTTTTAAGAACTGTTCATTATCCTTTACCTGGGTTTACTACCTTAAGAGACTGGGCTAAATGTTTAAATTTAGAACAAGGGGTTTTACAGAACGTAATTCAGTTAATGAAAAATAAATCATTAGATCTATCAGAAATTAATAAATTAGCTGTTCTTACATTTGACGGAAGTATATATTTCAAATAAAATATGTATTGACAGAAAAGCACAGCAAATACTTGGTTCACATAAAGCTTGTCAAACAGTAATGTGCAGAGGTTTAATTGGTCAATGGAAACAACCAGTTTTTTACCAATTTGACCAAAATATGAACAAAAATATTTTATTTGCAATAATACACCAACTGTATTCTGCTGGCTTTACTGTAGTAGCAATAACGAGCGACATGGGCTCAGGTAACATGAGTTTGTGGTCAGAGCTAAATATTGGCTATCAAAAAGATTGCTATTTTAAACACCCAAGTAACGATTTATTACAGATATTTGTATTTGCAGATATACCTCATTTATTGAAACTTTTAAGAAATCACTTTTTAGACCAAGGTTTTATATATAAAAATAAAATAATTAATAAAGAATGTGTGGACACACTGCTGTCTGGATCTGCTTCTGAATTAACAATAGCATTTAAAATTAATTCATACCATTTAAATTTGAAAGGCACTGAACGTCAAAAAGTACAGCCAGCAGCTCAGTTATTTTCCAATCAAGTTGCAAAGTTTATAGAGTGGTGTGGTAAGAAAGGATTTATGGAAAATAAAAATTGGAAAGAAACAGCTGAACTAATCAAACTTACAAATGATTGGTTTGATCTGTTTAATTCTAGAAGTAAATTTGGGGATCACTTTGGGACAAATGCTTTTGGTGTAAATTTAGATAGTCAAATTGAATTATTACAAAATTTCAGTGATATGATCGAATCTATTAGAGTGGGTACACACAAGGGGTTGATTTAATTTCAAAAGGGGATTTTATTAAGTAATATTTCCTTATTAAATCTTTTTTACTACCTTAAAGATAAATATTCAGTTGAATATATATTAACATACCGTCTTAATCAAGACATTTTAGAGTATTTTTTTTTCCTATATACGAGGGATGGGAGGACGAGATGATCATCCAACTCCACTCAAATTTAAACATAGGTTGATATGGTATATTTTAGGAAAGTATTCAGCCTCTGTTTTTAGTATAAATAGAAACTCAAAGGAAAATGTGCATGAACAATGTCTGGTAACACCTATGGAAACAGAAAACTTGAAAATTTCTGATAGTGACATTTGCTTATCTCATTCTGATTTTAAACATTTTGCCAAAGATATTTCTGGACAGATTGAAGATGAACCAAATGATATTGCACCATATACATTTATAGAACATGATGATCTAATAAACATTGAACTTGATACAACTTATTTTGAAATATCAGATGAACATCTGAATTTATTGGACCAATTTGAACAATTTAATCAGGATAATTTTGTAGAAACTCTCACTTTTGAAGGCTTGAAATACATTGCCGGTTACGTTGCCTATCGATTTAAACATAAATATGATCACTTAGGAATACCAACTAAAGAATTACCAACTCATGAATTGCCTGATTGGATTCAATTTATTTCAAGAGGACAACTTTTAGTCCCCAATGAAACTTTAATATCAGCTGCCAAAATTATGGAAATAGAATTTCAAAACCTTCATGGCAATTGGCTTTCTAATGCAAAGCTTCTTTTTGACCTTTTAACTGACAGAACAATTGCCAATTTACCAGAAAATGCACATATTCCTTACGAAGTTTTACACTATTTAGCTCGTACACGAACATACATAAGAATGAGAGATTTAAATAAAAAAATCAGCTTTAATAATTGCCAACGAAAACTTAAGAGAAAAATGTCAAAATTTGTTAATAGAAAAATTTAAGTTGCCTATGAAAGTATTTCAATATTTATTTTATAAAAGACAAAATCATACTCAAAATATGTGCTGCATACATTTAATACTAAAAAATTATTCATTGGCAACCGGTCTCATCCAAAGGATCATTGTTAAGCCTAGAATGAAAACTTAAAGTAACTGTTATGTTTTAAAGTATTGAATAAATCAATTAAAACTTTTAATACAAAGTTCTCAAAATATAAAGGGGTTTTAAATATTATTTTTGCAGTTTAGAATACTATAATTGCATATAATTTTTTATGTGAAAAGTAATTTTAAAATTTTTATATTTTTTAGAAAAAGTACCATATACTGTGTTTTGTCCAAATTTTAATATTGGAAAATAACACTTGCTAGAATTTCAAAAATAATAGGGTAGAGACTGTGTTTGGGAAAAAATATCTGTTACTATAAGAGATAATGTTATTCTGGAAAGCCCAGAAGACAATAAACACAGGATATACTTGGGATAAAAAATGTATTTTTGATAATAATGTTAGATACTGTGTTTTGAAATGTGGCAGCCATGTTAATGTGTAATTTTTATAGTGTCTACTTTACCTTTAACGGTACCGTGACTTTGTACCCACTATTTTGATTGTCCCTTAATGAAGGTTTTTAATATATTATTTAGCTTTAAGTTTTTATTCTAGGCCTGATGATGATCCTTGGGACGAAACAGGTTACTAATTTATAATTTTTAGGATTAAACTTATGTGGGACAGATATTGAGTATTATTTTGACTTTTATGAAGATGAACAAATTTGAGCAGTTGAATACCCTCCACGATTTATTTAATTTTTTTAGTTTTTTAGGTCCTGCTGTTCTACTCAAAACAACTCTCAATGTAATTCAAGAGAGGTCCGGCCCTCTTAGTCTCTTTACACTATCAGACGCTGACTAATTCATTCGTTTTAATAAAAAAAAAAAACAAAAAAAAAAAAAACAAAAAAAAAAAAAAACAAAAAAAAACGGGGCTTGTCCCACCAAAAATATCAACAGTAGTATTAGTTGTTTATTGATTGCATCAGCAAAAATTAGTAGTTCCTATGTTTCAGGTACCTTGTGAAATCTACGGGCTATATCCCTGATTACACTTATTTAATTGAGGGCCCCCGCGGAAGAGCGGTGATGCAGGCAAGTAGTTGCCGCATCGTGGGGGGAGGATGGATGTTCGGCGTGTAGTTCCTTCTTTCTCAAGAAGAGACTGCACCTCGTGGGTAGAGGGAGGCTCATCAAGGTCTCTATTGGACTAGATGTGTACCCGCAGGAGTGTAACGGAAAAATCCGGTACTCCTAGAACTCCACGGGCCAAAGAAATATACATTATAAAGTGTTAATCAAGATAAAGAAGTAAACATTATGTATCAACCATTTATAAACATTATTAAACATAAATAAATCAATTTAAAATAACACCTCTGTTCGTTTTATTAAAATAAAGCATGTTTTGTCAAGTGTTTCTGTTTATTAAATACATAAAGGGGTTTACCAGCACCCAACCATACAAGTTATTGATGGCCATAATTGATGACTAATTTAAAATTAAATTTTTACATTTATAATCTATGAAAGTAACTGCATACTTTCATACTGATTATTTAAGAAAATCAGCGACTAAAAGAATATACTGTTAATAATTCATTTCACCTTAATTTTATTGTTCAGCATTTGTTAACATTATACACAAGTTTATTTGAGTCGATTCAAAATTCTTTATTGTTGAATTACATTCTTATTAACAAAGGTAGATAACAAGTTAAAATTCAAAGGAAAAGAAATAAATAAAAGTTTGTTTTAAATTTTTTAAAAATTCTAATATCGAGACAAAATATAATATAAAAACAAAAATACATATGCACAACACTAAGTACAAATATGACAATCGGGAAATATATATACGAGTATACAAATAAATTAAAATTAACTACTTAATCCAAGGGATCACAGAAAAATTCATACACTTTGTAGTATGCCTTTTCGAGCAAGAGTTTCTTAACTTGCTTTTTAAACATTTTTAATGAGTCGGCACTTCTTATTATTAATTAATTGGCAGATGGTTTAACATTTTTCGCTATACACAATACAAGGTACACCACATATTTCAGTTCCACATTAGTTATTTGTATACCTATGCCTTTTATTAGTTCTAGTTTTTATCCCTACTGAGCCACTAAAACTTTTTAATGGTGATGTCTATGTAAGTAGGTACGTTTTGGCTATCATCTTGATCTCAATCTATCAGAAAGCGATGCTAGGCATGAAGATTTAAATCCTAGATCAAACATCCTCTTCAAGTTTTGTGATGGAAAAATTCAGTTTCAGATGAACACTATCTTTTTTATGCCAAAGAGAAACTATATTAAGCTAAATTCCTTACACCATGGCTAAATTCGAAATAAATTACCTACTTTTTTTGTATAAAAACAAAATATTTTTTATTTGGCATTACTTTTGCACAAGCGTCTATCTGCCTATAGTGACTTTCTTGTATTATTGAGCATAAATGATGTTATTTGACCAGCTGTTACTTTCTTCTAAATATATTTTCAGTTTTATAATGATTATAGAACTAGGAAATAAAAATACAACGTTTTGACAATCATTACAAAATGTAAACAAATCCATAGAATGGCATGGCAGTGTATAGGCGGCCGTGGAAATACCGATGTTGACGTCATAAAACCTGCGCACCGCTTCACCTGTATCCTTACACCATGGCAATATTGAGATTTAGAAATAATAATAAAAAATTTAACATACCATTTGACACATAGTAACATATTTCTTCCACCAAACATATTTTCTTATTCTGGGTCCAAAAGCGCTGAGCAAATAATAAGTATACATTACAATGTGAACGAACGAATTTAAAAGTGCATGAAACGTCAATCTTCCACATGGATTGTATTTTACGCACATCCACGTCCAAAATGGCATAGTACTGTGATGATATACATGGAGAACAGATACTTGACTGTACTTTTTTCTTAATAGAAAAATTATCTGAAAATAAAATGAATATACTACGTGAAATTGACTGTATAATATTTCTAGTTTCTAAAAGAATTTTATTTATTGTATTAATAGATAGGGAAACAGAAGGCATAACAGTACCCCTAAAGATAATTTTAAACTAAACATCTTTATTGTCAAAATTATTATAGATTTATGAAAGAAAATAGTAGTTTGTGCAACAAGAGTGGATATGATGGCCATATCGCATGAAAACGAAATTTGAGCACGACGTTGTAGGTGGAGTTCTCAATTGTCTGAGTACAATGTAGAAAATCTACTTGAGTTGTACAGTATATTTTTTCTACGATCCAATAACGAAAATTTACAAATAAAAAAAATATTTTAGATTATTAAGACAAAATAACTAATATTAAAATAATTTATAATTTTTAATAATTTTTAAAATAAAATAAACGAAGAAAAAAAATTAATTTAAAATCCCCAGCCGAGGTTCGAACTAGGGTTCCTCGCGTGGAAGTTAGATACTCTCACCACCCTACCACCGGCATATTTGGGAAATTTTTTTAATACTCGTAATTCAATTGACTTTATAGTTTTATTAAAATTAACAAATTATTTGGATTCATAGTATAAATAAAATAGAAATGCTATTATCGATTCTACACAAAAATGAGTAATTTTAATTTATATTTAAGTTCAATAACTAAAAAATATACTGACAATTAGTTTGACAGAATTGTAACATTTTAAATTTTAAAAATAGCTCTCAGGTGACCAAAATATGAACTGTGATTGGTGGATTTCATTTTTTTGGAGTGTAATTACTACATCGAATGGATAAAAATATATTCTTTCAGTTAATGGCAATAGTATACTTTTTCGTTTTGTAATCTGTGTGTAGATAAACTAATATCCATGTAGGTGTAAAAAAAAACATATTTTCTTGCATAACTAACTATATAAGTTAAAAAAAAAATAAACAAACAACACTTTTGTAATTGAGGGGTTCGTAATTAAAGAGGTATAACACATTTTTTTAATTATTGAGATAATGAAGTCTAAAGTCAGGTGTTTTTTTTTTAAATTCCCGAAGATCAACTGCATGACTTCTGGTCGTTAGTTTGAAAGATAGGGATGTTGCAAATATATGTGGTATATGTAAATATTTGAAATTAGTCAAATATTAAAAAAAAATGAGCTTATACCCTTTTAATTTTAACTTAAATTATTAATCTGGGCAAATACAAAATAGAAATATTTAGGCAGGTTATTTTTATTAAAACAAATTATTCTTCTCAATTTTCATAATCAGATTCAATGATGTCATTATCTATTCGAATGAAGTGGTCATCATTTGGCTCTTTTTCTTCAACTGGAGTTGATGATCCAGGATGCGCTGAAGTAGACTCGTTTAAAGGATTTTCTAGTACAAAATTGTATTTGTATGCGCGCCACTGGGAATACTTCATGATATTATGTGTCTCGAGAATATTGAGATCTTTAAATTTGTGCTTATTTTACCACCCTTTTTTACATGCTGACGTATGGCTTTATTTGATACAAATTCACTTGTATCCATTCTCTACCAAAGAAAAGAATACTTTAAATTTATAAATTTGTACTTAACTCAAAAAATTAAAACAGTGCACTTATACCTTTTTAATTTCAAACCACTCAATAATTCAAAAATCTACTTTGGGACCATTTTATCTACATATGAGGGCAAAATGGTTACAAAGTAGATTTTCGATTTATTAGTTGGGTGGTTTGGAATAATGTGCCCATTAGTTACACTAAGTGCACTGAATCCACCCTTCTGAAGAATCGGAGTACAAATAATGGCAATACAGACGCTCCATGTCAATATCATCTTCGAAAGAATAGGCGCCTTTTTCTATAATTTTGCGGGCATTTTTCTTTTTGTTAATTTTCTTTTCTTTTCTGTTTTCCTTCTCTACATCATCATCATTATTATCATCGAAAAGAACTTTTTATTTCACTTGGTTGGCATTTGCTTGTGACGTTTTCAATTCTGTACGATACGATGATGATGTAATAAGACCAGTTTTGCATCTTTTGGCTTATCTCGTTTTTGGTACCGGCATAATTTGCAGTAGCGAAAGAATAAAACTGCTCTTTGAAGAAAAACTTTTCATACGGAGCCGAGAATGTGGTTCGTTGTGACACTCAGTATCATGTAGATCTTTTGAAAAGCTAGTATCTACTTTAAGTAGTAACTTAAAACAACATGGCTGCGGTTCAATAGTTTCTTCTTCAGTTTGGCCATTTTCAATGATAGCAGTTGTGTCTGCTGCCTTGAACCGCTAGTATCTGCTTAAGATAGTGACTTCGAGTAACATAACTGAAGTTCATCGATTTTTTCTTCAGTCGTAATTTTCAACGATATGAGTTGTATCTGCTGCCAATAAATCTGCCTTATTAAAGATTACAAGATCTAGCGGCCATATTCCAGTTGCGCAAAATGCATTGTATGCAGTAGGAATGGTATTTTTAGCCTTTTCAAATGCTTTGCCAACTTCTTTCGCAACTTAAAATTAAGCAATGACTCTTCCCTAGTTTGTTCTTAGCCATTGCTTTGCAGCCTCTGTGTAGTATATAGATAATAGTTTCATGAACCCAACATCAAGAGGCTGAAGCCGATAGATGCAGTGTAATGGAAATGAAATTATATGTACACCTATTTCACGGGCTATGTTTAATACATTCAAATTTTATTAAGACTTGCGGCAAGAGGAATACTGGGATGTCTATGAATGCTCTGAAAAACTTAATAAATTTCTCAAACCACTTAGTAAAAATATCTTTATTAATCCTGCCACTCTTATGACACTTCGCAAAAGATTCTAGAGGAGCATTGTTCATTAGTTCCGGCATAAACCGTTTACGTGGGAATACAAAGAGTTGTGACATATATGACACAAAAAACAGTCGTTACTAGCTAGCCTCGTTCTGCTGATGTTTATAAACCGACCTGTTTTTCAGTTTTGCACTGACTATTTTCTGCAAACTCTTGGGTACAGTGGCCATGTCCGTTTCATCGACATTGAATATTTTATCGAGTGTTAATTTGTATTTGTCCACAATTTCCGTTAATAAAGAAAAAAATTTGCTAATTGAAACCTGATTAAATCCACTAGCTCTTGCGACCGAAGTGACTTCAGTCATTATTGTGTCGTGATCAAAGTTGTGTTTGATAATATCTTATTCAACTAGGTCGTACGCCAAAGACCTCAAATCCTTCGTCGTCAAGCCAAAATACCAACTTTAGATATTTTTCACATTAACTGCGAGTTGTTTCTCCTGCTTCATATTAAAAATTGTAGTAAACCTCCCTATCTTCTTCACTGCTGCTTCAACAGTATTTTGGTTTTTTGTTGCAAAATTATGTAGCCGCTGTTTTAATGTTGTTTTTGGGAATTTGAAACTTTAAGCAACCTTTCTGGGCCCCATCACTCTAGTAGAAACCATTTGAATCTCCTGTTTCATAGATTATTTTGACCATTTCTGCCTGCCTGACTTTCTTTTGCAGTTACTAAGCATCTGTCAAAGTAAACAAGAGATGGCGCTGATGAAAATAAGAAATATGGTATTGGACCGTTTTGCCTTCAGGGTCCGTTATGGCTTGTTTCCCTATTATCTCAAAGTAAAAGTAACTATTAGATAAATTTATATAAGTTTATTTATTAGTAGAATATATATCTGAGTGTCAGAGTCAGACTAGGTTAAGTCCAAATATTGTCCTTTTAAGTTTTTATTATGTAACATACATCTTTTAAACTACTTTTATACGTATTTTCAATTTGGACTCATCTAAAAAAATTAATAGGTGTATAAATATAAATAAAATAATAAAAAAATGTGTTTTGACTTCCTCGCAATAACCAGTGGAAAAGGACCGAAAACAAAAACAGAACTGTGACAAAATGTAGCCCGGTTGATGGAAACAACAGTTTTCGGGTTTGTCTCAGTTTTGTTTTAGTTTTTTAAATTCCAGAAAACATAAACAAAACACAAACTCAACTGTCTGTTTAGTCTTAACATATAACCACTTGGACTTGCTTGTTTTTGTTTACGCAGCGGCGTAACGCAGTACATTTAGGTTGAATTTTTATCAACGCTAACAGCAACCATGGACAGTATGAATGTTTATGAACATTTCTATCTATACAATGAGACTGAGTAGTAATATTACCTAATCTTATCAGGTTTCAACCAGAAGTAGAGGTTTTTAATGACGTCAAAATAAAGAAAATAAATTAAAGTCAAATTAATATTCTTGATCATCTTGGCAACATCTAGCAGCCCTTTGCTAGAGAAAGAATGAGCCAAAGCTTACTACTAAATAGTTTTAACCAATTCTAACACGAGGCCTTCGCGATATTGCTCAATGAACATTTTCTACGATAGGTCGAGGAACTTGCTATTATTTATATCCAAAAAATATCCAGAAAATATCCAGAAAATATCCAGAAAATATCCAGAAAATATCCAGAAAATATCCAGAAAATATCCAGAAAATATCCAGAAAATATCCAGAAAATATCCAGAAAATATCCAGAAAATATCCAGAAAATATCCAGAAAATATCCAGAAAATATCCAGAAAATATCCAGAAAATATCCAGAAAATATCCAGAAAATATCCAGAAAATATCCAGAAAATATCCAGAAAATATCCAGAAAATATCCAGAAAATATCCAGAAAATATTCAGAAAATATCCAGAAAATATCCAGAAAATATCCAGAAAATATCCAGAAAATATCCAGAAAATATCCAGAAAATATCCAGAAAATATCCAGAAAATATCCAGAAAATATCCAGAAAATATCCAGAAAATATCCAGAAAATATATAGAAAATATCTAGATAATATCCAGAAAATATACAAAAAAACATACAGAATAATTCATAGTACATTATTTCTAAATCGCTGAATATTATTATCCACATAAGTTGGCTTAGCAAAAGCCCACATCTCTAGCCATGGGTACACACTGGTTATAGAT